AATTTTCTAACTTTTATATATGATATAGTCTACAATGCACACTTTTTCACATTTTGACCTTTCTGAAATCAGAATGCATCTTTTGACTGGGGACATAGTACAGTTGCTGTAATCTGGATGGAAGTTTAGTATTTACAGAGGTTGTGCCTTTGCTTCAGCCAGTAACCTGGAGGCATGATCAACTCAAGTCCATTATGAGTTTAATTATCTGCTTAAAGCTTTTTGTCCCACATGGGTAATGTGAATTCAGACTTCAGATTTCCATGATGACTACCAACTTACGCAAATTCTCAGGGGAAATTTTTCCTCCCTCTACCTAGTGTCAAGATTGAGACACAGGTAGGACCCAAATCAGTTGAGACAAGATGGTGGGCTCACCATGAGGCGCTATCAAGGGATGAAAACAGGTGCCTAGAAGCAGGTTTTAAAAGCAGTTTCTCTTCGAAATGTCTTTTTTTCACTTTACCTGATAAGCATCCTGATTTATTGGGGCAGTAGCAGTAGTAAAATAAATGATATCAAATAAAACTATCTTGAAATGTTTATTTTCAAGCCAAAACATAGCTGTATATTGTGGTTTGTCATAAATCCATGTTTTCTTCTCTTCTAGATGACTATAAATGCAAAGGAGAGCTTTCTTTGACATCCAATGGCGGGGCGATAGTATGCTAACTCCCTATTGTGGACATTGCATATGAATACACCAAACCTATCCCTTGGCCAGATCCTATGCATAATAATGAAGAAACATAGAACTAGGTGCTGAGAATTAGATTAGAAGAATGTGAACACCTTGAACAAGGACCCATCATAAAGCAACTTAGCAGAATGTTCTTTACTGTTAAGCATCATTGGTATCCGCATGGACAATACCACAGAGTCATAAGAAACTGAATCCTCCAAAAGACAGATGACTTTGAGGTTCTTGGGAACCAAAGAGAAATGTTATCCTTTGCTTCATTAGCCATTTACGAAAATGCAATCTGGCATATTCATTAATATATCATATCATAAAATAGCAATTAGAAAATGTCTTTTCATATTGAAAAAAGATTGAGACACAGGAGCTTTCCTATTATCCTTTTCTGTAGAGTAGGTTTATTTCTTCTCTACCCTTGTATCAGCTTTGTATGAAGGTCTTCTCTTACAGCCCTCTTCATGTAGGTTTTTTTCTTTCTTAACACCATATGAAAGAATCAAAGGTGTCTCACATTAAATGAAACACGATATTAATATTTCCATTTTATAGATTAGGAAACTGAGGCACAGAGAGGTTGGTTAACTTAGTGAAATTCAAACAACTAAAAAGTTATGGAGGCCGGGCGCGGTGGCTCACGCCTGTAATCCTAGCTCTCTGGGAGGCCGAGGCGGGCGGATTGTTTGAGCTCAGGAGTTCGAAACCAGCCTGAGCAAGAGCAAGACCCCGTCTCTACTAAATATAGAAAGAAATTAACTGGACAACTAAAGATATATAGAAAAAATAGCCGGGCATGGTGGTGCATGCCTGTAGTCCCAGCTACTCGGGAGGCTGAGGCAGGAGGATCACTTGAGCCCAGGAGTTTGAGGTTGCTGTGAGCTAGGATGACACCATGGCACTCTAGCCTGGGCAACAGAGTGAGACTCTGTCTCAAAAAAAAAAAAAAAAAAAAAAGTTGTGGAGTGGTATTGCAGACGGGGTCCTGCAGAAGCATTTGCTGAGACGGTGTTTGGGGTGCAAGACATTTATTAGGGATCAGCACATATGAAAGGAAGGTATTGGAAACAGAATTGGGCACAGGAAAAAGTCAAACTGTGATGCAGGCCTGACACAGCCTCAACCAACCTGGCCAGAAGCTCTGGAGCAAACATCGCTCATCAGAGTGTCCTGCATAGAGCTGCAACAGCCCAGCCTTCATCTCTGGCATAGAACACAGGCTGCCTGGGGAAGCCATAACCTCAGGGGAAACCGCTCTCTGTAGCTGAGACAGACCCTGAGTGCACCGACAGGGGGATGCTGCCTTCTAACTGCATGTCTAGCAGCTGGACATCAAGTCCTTCCTGAGAGGGAGAAACACAAGAAGGATACAAACTCTGGCAGTCTGGTTCTAGAGCTAGCACTCCTGACCCCTAGGATGTCTTGTTTTCCTGACAGATGCATTGGGATCAAACCACGAGAGAATTCAGACATTTGATCCAGTCTTGTTTCCTCTGTACCATGCCTTTCTGCATAGCACAACCACCTACTCAGCCAGTGTTTCAAACCATTATTGTTGTTTGCAGGGGTCCAATTGTTCCACAAAATTGAATTTTCACTTGGATGATAAGCTAAAAATTATAATGCAGGATTATGTGCATACTCAACTTGATAAGTATGAAATGTCACCATTTGCGTCTGGTTTGACATTGTGCAGCAACAAATGAAAGCCTGACTCCAAGAAGAGCTCAGTGATATCTGGTCATCTGCAGCACTAAGGAAAGGTGGTAGGAGAGCTGAGTCAGCACACAGCTCTTTAGTAGTGTAGACAGGCCTAACACATTCCGAGTTATTCACACGTTCGCGTTTGAAAGGAGACACATCACACACAATATTTCAGTTCACTAGCACTAAATATGATCATAAATATTCAATAAAAACATTTTCATTAAAGTAAACTTGTATTTTGGCATTTTATTTTAGGGAGAGTTTTTGATTGATTCACTCATTAATGAATCATGGATTGATGATTCGGGACAAATATATAGTTTAAAAGAAAAAATTGTAACAAAGATAATGAAGGATTATTCAAATGAGTGTCTATTGTATTCAAAATAAAGAAAATCATACAGATAACAAGTGAAATACAAAACCAAACGCACTTGGCTACTTTTAGAACAAATACTTGTGGTATTGTTTCACCAAAACAACATTAAATCAATGCGGTTTATTTTAATATTATTAATCCTATACTTTTAATGTGTAGATAGGTTCGGATTTTATAACTTTTTAAAGGGTCTGGAGCCATAAAGCATTTATATACCATGTTTATGTTTAAGTAACCTTGTGTCTATATCACATTCAAGTAACAATATAGTAGAAATAATATGTCAGCACTGGGTGCCATATGTGTTTTTTTTTTCTCCTGAAGAAGAGCCTACTCATTAATTAAGTTGGAGAGATGCTGTACCGGGTCCACGGAAGAAATAAGGCATGAATAAATTATGCCCAGCACCCCCATTTGCATCGTAATCAATTATGAATTCCGGTTTGTATGGGCGCATTTGTTTTGTAAATGTTTCTTTGTCACTAGAGATATAGAGTTGTGGCAAAAGTTCCTGTTTCATAATTCACCTTTGTCCATCACCAGCTTGTAGAAAATAGCGTTTAAAGAAATCAGCTGGAGCAGCCTGCTTTCAACACCCAGAGCTAGTGATGCAAGGCCAGGTCAGCCCCTACCAGGGTTTTCTGCTCACACTCGGGGCACACAGTGCGGAAAGGAGCTGAGGACCGAGAGGAGCATCTGCCAGCTTCTGGAAGGTCTCCTCCACAAGATCGTCATCCCCAGGGGCAGAGATCCTCAAGGGAAGACTCTGCCCTTTGAATCCGTGAGTTTACTGCTCAGACTTCAATCTGTTTTCACTGCCACTTTTAGTCAATTCATCATTGGAAACACGTTTGGTTTTTGTGGTGCCAATGTCTTCCTTTTAATTTTTCTTCAGGGTCATGGAAGGATGCTAGCAGGCTGTGGGCCAGGAACTCACAGAAATTATAAACCGTCTGTGAAGAAGGAATCAGTCCATCTGAAGAGTGTGTTGAAGGGAAAAGTAAAACGAAGCAAGACATGGAGCTGCCGCAAGGGGACGAAATGGAGGGAGGGGACGAAGAAGAGAAGAAAATCAGGCCTCAGCCTCAAAGTAAGGCTTTTTGCTAAAGAGACATTTCTAAAGAGGTGGCACAATTTCATCCCCGTGAACAAAATAGGGATGTAAAAATGTTTAGCTTAATCGTGAAAATTACAGTTGTTGAAAACTAAATTATTCAAATTCAAAGCCAATATTTCGAGGCTATGACTAAGCTCTGCTCTGCAAAAGGCGTTGCTTGTGTGTTATATTCTGCTTATGCTTTTCTGTTTCACTTTTGTCCATTCTGCAGAAGAGGGCAGTGGTGCAAAAAGGAGTTTACCAGAAATGAGTATTGAGTAACAGTCTCATCTTAAAATACTTTTGCAACTTGTTATGTAAAATCACAGTTGCAGAAAAATCGGTTTCCTTCAGGAGCTATTAAACAGATCAACTATACTATCTCTAGACCAGATTTTTTTTTACCTATTCTCTTTCACAGAGAACTTTTGTTCTATTTGCATATACTAGAGGAGCCAATACTTATTGAAATTTTTTTTTTTTTTTTTTTGAGAGGCAGAGTCTTTTTCTGTCACCCAGGCTAGAGTATAGTTGCATGATCATAGCTCACTGTAACCTCAAATTCCTGGTCTCAAGCAATCCTCCTGCCTCAGCCTCCTGAGTAGCTGGGACCACAGCCATGTGCCACCATACCTGACTAATTTTTTAAAAAATGTTTTAAAAAATATTTTGTAGAGATGGGGCTTCACTATATTGCCCAGGCTGGTCTTAAACTCCTGGCCTCAAGCAATCCTCCTGTGACGGCCTCCCAAAGTGCTGGGATTAGAGGCGTGAGTCACCATGTCTGACCCGATGTTTATATTTTTTAGTGATCTGGTATTTGCTAAATTGTACATTTAAATCTTAAGCTTCAAGGGGTAGAAACTCTGTTCTCTGGTGAGGCTGTGTGCATTGAGTAACGATGGCTCGTTTGCAGTACTGAAGATTTTGCACATTTCATTACATATCCAGAAGTAATTGAAAGCATATTAGACATGGAAATATTTAAAACCTTAACAATTAACCTATTTACTTTATAAAGTCATAAATTCTCATTTATGTATTCCATAAGTGACATTTTAAATAGAAAAGCTATATAGAAAAAGATTGGCCTGTGAATCTGAGAATATTTTTCTAGTCTGCACGTACTGGAGAACAATTTATATGACATACAACATGGTTTCTTCATAAAGCTAGCTAGTGAATTGAAATAGGGATATGATAATATCACTAGGGAACATTTTTGCAAGTACTGCAGTTGTAAAATTTTCACAGCTGGGATTTGGAGACTATGATCTAGCTACTAATTAAGAATGCTGTATCAGTTAGAGTCCCAAAGGGAAATAGAGAGCACATTCAAATTAGGATAATTCAAGCAGGGTTTATAAATAAGGAGACTATTATAAAGGTGGAGGGAGGGTGGACAGGAACCGTAATGGAACCCAGGGCTGACAATCATGAGTAGGGAGGGTATTCGAGCCGGGAAGGAGAGAGAGTCATGTAGACTAGAGTAGACCACCTTAGAGGAACCGTGACCTTCTGTCAAGGGACACAGCCCTTCTGTTTGGAACAAGTTCCTTGGCCTCATCCCCTGCCTCTGCTCTCCTGCCAGAGTTCCTTACCGGCTGAGCCCAAGGGAAGCCACGGGGCACAGGCACCTGTCTGAATAATCCATGCAGATGAGCCTCCCCAGGCAGAGAGCAGGGTAGAGGGAGGGGATAGTGGATCTGGAGGGGCAAACAGAAGATATCTGCGCACATGCTGACAGTATATTAAATGCAAATCTAGAATTTATTGTTTCTTGTTAGTATATTCATTGGTGCCAAGTGTTTATAAATAATAGAGTTGTAGCTTTATAAATATGCACTAGACAAGATCCTTACAGGAATTAAATTTTAAACTGCTTTTTGAACAATGGGGGAAAGAATCTAGCTTAAAATCTATGTTCTGTAAAAAAAAAAAAAATCTTTTTCTAACTATATGAGAGCTAGATATATATTCTAAATCTTGTTACGTCTGGGTGCCTTCCTCTAAAAGGCTATCTCAGGGCCCTGAGCTCGGTGCTTACTTTGGTCGTTTATTCAATCATCTTTCAACAAATATTTATTGAGATTGTCCAGTGTGCTAAGTACTGTGCTAGGTTTTGGGTAGTAAGTGAAACAGACACAATCCCTGCCTTATTGAAACTTACGGTTTAGTAGGAAAGTGAGTCGAATGATGTAGAGGACGACTTAAATAGGGTTGGAAGTCTGCATTCCTAAAGGGAATCTTCAAGAGCAACAGAACCACATGACCACTGAGTAGTGTCCAAATATCATATTTAAACATGAAAATTAGAGAGCTTGTAGCAGCCGTTGACATGCAAAAGAGCCAGAGACTTCCTAAGCAGCACGTTTCCTGTCTCTTAAAAGAAGGATCTTTAACTTAAATTTTAAGCTGGCTAGTTCTGGAAAAGCTTATCCAAATATGATTTGTGAGACGAGGCACAAGTGGCTACCAGGATCTAGAAAGTGCTGCCTAAGAACTGTCTGCAATAACAGAAATGTTCTATTCTGCACTGTCCAACATAGTAGCCACTAGTTATGGTGGCTAATGCGACAGAGGAACTGAATTCTAAATTTTATTTTAAATTTAATTAATTTAGATTTAATTAGCCACATGTGGCGATGGTAATGTACAGTGAAGATCTAGAACAAGATGTGCTGGCTGGGGTTGCTGAGCCCAAGTTGCTTCATTTAACCTCATTTCCCTTTTCGACTGGGTTAACAGCAAGGTTAGTAAATTACTCACACAACATCATGTGCTCTGCGGGGTATGAAATAGAGAGAAATTACTGATCGCCTAAGAAAAATAAATGTTGGCAAGGAGGTGAAGAAATTGCAAACCGTGTGCATTGCTGGTATGAATGTAAAATGGTGCAACTACTGTGGAAAATAGTCTGATGATTCTACAAAAAATTAAATGTAAAATTGCCATATGGTCCTGCAATTCCACTTCTGGTTATATACACCTCAAAAATGAAAGCAGGGACTCAGATATTTGTATATCCATAGTCATAGCAGCATTATTTGAAATAGCCAAAGGTGGAAGCAACCAAGGAGTCCATTAACAGATGAATGAATAAACAAAATCTGGTATACACATACAATGAAATATTATTCAGCCTTAAAAAGGAAGGAAATTCTGACACATGCTACAAGGTGGATAAACATTAAAGACATAATGTAAGTGAAATAAGCCAGTCACAAAAGGGCAAATATTGTATAATTCGATGTATATGAAGTAGAGTAGTCAAATTCACTGAGGCAGAAAGCAGAATGGTGGGGTCTAGCAAGTCCACTACTGGGTATATATCCAAAGAATATGAAGTCAGTATGTTAAGGTATCTGCACATCTGTGTTCGCTGCAGCACTATTCACAATAGCCAAGGTATGGAATCAACCTGAGTGTCCAACAGTGGATGAATGGACAAAGAAAATGTGCTATCTAAACACCATGGAGTACTATTCAGCCTTACAAAAGAAGGAAATCCTGTCATTTATAATGACTTAAATGGACCTGGAGGACACCATGTTAAGCGAAATAAGCCAGGCACAGAGAGCCGACTACTGCATGATCACACTTACATGTGGCATCTAAAAAAGTAGAACCCAGAAAGAGAGAGTAGAATGGAGGTTACTAAGGCCTGAGTGGGGGAGGCGTTAGGGAGGCAATGTAAGCAAAGAAAAAAAAGTAGAAAGGGATGGGGGAGGGGAGAATATGGAGTTTGTGTTTAATGGGTATAAAATTTCAGTGGGGGAAGTTAAAAAATTTCAGGAGATGGACAGCAGTTGATAGTTACAAGGCAATGTGAATGTACCTGTACTTAATGCCACAAAACTGTATACCTTAAAATGGTTACAATGGTAAATTTTATGTTTTATATATCTTATCGCAATAATACAAAAATCTTAAGCATATTCTCTGTC